CAGCCACCGCTCGTCATCCCAGACTTGCATGACGATGTGATCCCACCCCTCAGTGGGTGTTTCCCGAGTCCAGAAGCAGCGTTCCATGGTGGTGAGCATGTCCATGAATGCCACAAGCAATTTCATGTCATATGCATTATGCAAGTCGACATCATCATCGGACTCCTCCCTGTCAGTTTGTAGCTTGAGTAACTCGACTGCAATTCGTGACGTGTTGGAGAGACCCATCAGCATATTCCTCACAAGTTCGGGCTCCATTCCCGCAGACCGAAAGGGAAGACAGCGCACTCAGTACAAAAAACTTTGAAAGATGGTGCCAAATGTGGACGGAAGCACAGGGATTGCTGGGATGCGAAGCGATGCATCATGGGGCATTGGGCCAGGACCCAGAATGCCCCGCACTCCCCGCCCCCTTCCCACAAGCCACAGCTCCAGAACGGGAAGAGACGCTCTGTGGGATAGCTGCCCATAATGCACCACTCCCAATGCCACTGCAAGTGCTGCAAATGTGGCCACGCCACTGTGCTTGCAGCTGACAGTGTGAACACACAGCAGCGCTTTCCCTGCTGCGCTCTCCAGGGGCTGGTTTAACTCAAAGCGCTCGACATCTGCAGGTGTAGCCATACCCTTACATAAAGCAACAAAAAGGCCGTGGGAGACACACCTAAGCCCCTGGGATAAGGGTGACAGGAAATTCCCCTAGCCTCATTTGCATCAAAGATAGGACAAGGAGGCATCTCCATTAGCACACAGAATGGAGAACAGATTCCAAAGCAAGAACTGCATGGAACTCTGGGACCAGAAAAGCAGGGAAGCACTGCATGATGGGGAGGATCTCTGCTCCAGATTTAACAAACCCATGCCTGCACACACCCAGCTGAGCAGTTATCAGACCAATTCTAGTAATAAATCCTTTATTGGTATCCAAAATAGTGAAGCTCCTTAATTGCATTGTGAACTCCCTCCAAGGAACACTGCCCATTGCCAGGAATGATCAGCTCCCATGTCTAGCCTGAACAAAACAACTTTGATATTCTCCCTTGTTTACACACGAACAAATCTAGTGTTCTCCCCAAACCATTGTTCTTTCCCTACAAAAACCCCGACCCATGCTCAAGTAAGTGCTCTGATGCCTGGATCCAAACTCTGCATCAGCTCCATTGGGACTTCACCTTCTCCTGACTGATCATGCTGGGGGCTCTGCCTGTCTCCAGCACTCCAGACCCTCAGCTACCACCACCACCTGGGACCCCCGATCGATTCAAGCTTCATGGAGTGGTGAGAACACAGCGCACACGCTCTCTCCTTCTCCCCCGGTGGGTGTTTTGGCTTCCCCATTCGCTCTGCAGCAATGCTCCTCTGACCTAAGCTAAAAGATCCCTGCAGCTCTAACTTCGCCTCCAAGCACTTCTCCTCTGCTTCCGCCTCCAAGCACTTCATCTGTAGGAAGAAATTCCTGTCTTCCGCAGTTAGAACTCAGTCTGGGTTAAGGGCATCCCTCCATCTTGGCACTGGGATCTCGGGTGGGGGAAGGCTGACCCTTCCCTCCTGGAAAATCTACAGTCCCCCATCCCCTCCCTGCATTTTTGTCATGGAGCTGGATGTCTGGGCTTGATCTGGGTCTGTCTTCTCCATGGCGTGCCGCTTTGGGAAGACTAGTTGCCTTAAGGTTTTGGTGACCAACTGCAACCTCATGCACAGGCTGCCCTACTCTAGCCTAGCTATTTCATTGCCACGAAGCTAGGGGCAAAAAACAAAACCAAAACCAAAAAACACCTGCTTGTTGGACTCCCTGGCTTTGCAGGCTGAACCCTTTACGTGCCTGTTCCCCCTCAGGCAGCAAAGAAAAGGGGGAAAAATCCTCCCTGGCTTTACAGGCTGCCAAAAGGAAAAATGTGTCCTTTTAAAATCCTGAGGTCTGTGCCTCTGGTTCAAAGTGATCCCCCTGCTCTGCCACCATGTCAAGGTGGATTCCCCACTCTGGCACTACGAGGGCAGAAGGTGGGGGCCTGTAAGGACTCTAAACATTAATATTGGCCACTCCAGGCTTGTATGAAACTCCTAAGGTTACAGCGTCTCTCTGACCTTGGATTTGTAGATGCTGCCACCACCCAAGTGCAAAACCTGTTTGAGAGACCAGGAAGGCTCACTTGTAATTCCTTCCTGAGGGCACCCTTTCCCTCTCCCCCCAGGAAGAGCTGAGAAAGATAGATAAAACAAACAAACCAGCTGTTGCCACCAGTTAATTTAAAAAAAAAAAAAAAAAAAGAAGTGCACAAACCTCTTAACACACAGAACTCCAATCCTGTTCTTTAAAAAGGTAAATTTTATTTAAAAAGAAAGAAAAATACATCTGAAAACTCAGGCTATTGCTAGATTTAAAAAGAGCAAATACAAGAATTAGGCATCAAGAATAGCTTTCTTGAGGTCCAGCTTAGAATCATAGAAGATTAGGGTTGGAAGAGACCTCGGAGGTCATCTAGTCCAACCCCCAGCTCAAAGCAGGACCAATCCCCAACTAAATCATCCCAGCCAGGGCCTTTGGTTTTTAAGGCCTGGCTTGACATTCTCCCCTGCCCCATGGTCTAGGGGATCAGTCATTCAGGGAATCGATGCGTTAAGCTCCTTTGGGCTCTGGGCGAGAGGAGCAGGGAGTTGTGCTGGAACATGTTCCTTGGTGCCATTAGCCATTTGTTTGAGCTAAGCCAGAGAGCAAAGGTGCTGGAAGCTGTGGAGCAGGAATTGGGCTGGCAGGTAGTTTGAGGTTTGGTTGGCCATTTGGATGTGGAATATATATTGGGTTGGATCTTGTCAGGGTTCTCTCCCCACCCTAAACTCTGGGGTACAGACGTGGCGACCTGCATGAAAGACCCCCTAAGCTTATTTCTATCAGCTTAGGTTAAAACTTCCCCAAGGCACAAATCCCTTCTTGTCCTTGGACGGTATTCATTGCCATCAACAAGTGAGTTAGACAAAGATTCAAGGAAAAGAACCACTTGGAGTTCCTGTTCCCCAAAATATTTGCCCCAAGCCCCTTCACCCCCTTTCCTGGGGAAGCTTGAGAATAATATCCTCACCAATTGGTATAGGTGGGCCGAGGCCAAATCCCTGGCATCCGATGAAGTGAGCTGTAGCTCACAAAAGATTATGCGCAAATAAATTGGTTAGTCTCTAAGGTGCCACAAGTCCTCCTTTTCTTTTTGCGAATACAGACTAACATGGCTGCTACTCTGAAACCAATCTGTTTTTTTTTAAAAGAATCTGAACTTTATAATAAAGAAAAAAAAGTAAAAAGCACCTTTGTAAAATCAGGATGGAATGTAATTTTACAGGATAATCAGATTCAAAACACAGAGGATTCCCCTCTAGGCAAAACTTTAAAGTTACCAAAAAAGAGGGATAAACCTCCCTCTAACCATAGGGAAAATTCACAAGCTAAAACAAAAGATACTCTAATGCATTTCCTTCCTATTACTTACTATCCCTGCAATTTAGATGCATCATTCAGTAGGAGCTGGATTACTTGCTTGGGCTCTCTCTTTGTCTCCTGAGAGAACACACACAGAGCACAAAAACAAAGCCTCCCCCCCCCACACACGATTTGAAAGTATCTTCTTTCCCCATTGGTCCTTCTGGTCAGGTGCCAACTAGGTTAATTGAACTGATTAACCCCTTACAGGTAAGGGGATTCTGTACCTCTGGCCAAGAGGGATTTTATATTACTGCATACATAAAGGTTGTTCCCCTTCCCTTTATATTTATGACAGATCTGGTTTGAGGTTTGGGTTGGATCTATGCTGAGCAGATGGCAGGGGCTCTATGTGTCCCCTGTTTCCCCCCTTTGGTGTCTAGGTTTCCCCAAAATCAATCGGGGTCTGTCCACTGAGGCCTAGGATATTCCCTGACATTTTGGAATTGATCAGATGTGGCCTTCCGAAGTTCTCCTCTCGCAGACAGATGGATGGAGCAATGCCATGGAGGGGAGGGAGGGAGGGGGGAGTAGCTGAAAGGAGTCCCTGAACTAGATGGGGGAGGACGGTGGCCACAGAGAGCTTGTGATCCAGAGGTTTTGATAAAGAAAATTGCCCGTCGGAAACATAGGCACCAACTCCATGGGTGTTCCAGCCCTGGAGCACCCATGGGAAAAAATGATGATGAGCACCCATCGGCAGCCATGACCTACCCAGCGCCTCCCACGTGCCCCGCCAATCAACACCCCTCCTCCCTCCCAGTGCCTCCCACCCGCTGGTGACCCCCTCCCAGCACCTCCTGCCTGCCATGGATCAGCTGTTCTGCTGAGGGGGTGCTCTCAGGGGAGGGGGCAAAATGGGGCAGGAAGAGGCAGGGTGGAGGTGGGGGTTTGGGGGAAGGGCTGGAGTGGGGGGTGGGGCCAGGGCCAGAGTCGGGGTGGTCATGCACCCCCGGTACATTAGAAAGTTGGCACCTCTGGTCAGAAAAGCCAGTTCTGGCAAGTCCTGAGTGTCTAAGCTGCGTACAGATTGTGCACCTCAAAAGGGAAAGGAAACATGGTAATGGACACCCTGTCCAGGAAAGCGAGGGGTCAGGGAGCTGATACCCAGCTACCAAGGGCCAGGCTTCCTTGTGCTGGAGGCCAGGGGTAACAAGGTGACTCTCAGGTGATGGTTCTCTGGGCACACACAGAGCTGGTGAGGGAAAATGAAGGGGTGAAAGGAGACCCTGGGATGTTCAATGCACTCAGTCTGCAGAACTACAAGTGTATGACACCCGGGAGGGTGTTATATAAACAGCCAAGTCCAGCCCGCTCCCTTGCAGGCAGGCTCCCCATCCCTATGTCCTCCCTCCCAGAGGCGACAGGTCTAGAGGTGTGGCTGGAGAGTCGTTCATCAGAGCTCTCTTTGGAAAGAGGTGGCCCTTGCTCCTGTCCTTATTCTGCCATTGTCAGCCTCTGAGGCAACGAGTGGTTTCCCAGTTGCTCGGGCAGGCACCAGACAAAGCAGTCTGTGATGGCACCCACTAGAAGATGTGCTGGCCTCATGCTGAATGCCTCAGCCCCTGCTTCTACAAGAGTCCCCAGGAAATGACGTTGCCACCTGCCCCTCAGGTCTGCCTCATGCCTGTTTCTCCAGATAGCTTGATCTTCTTCAGGCTCTCCTTGACGAGGATGAACTCAGGCCTGCGCTCCTGCTCCCCCTTCAAGGCCAACTCTCGCTCAGACTGCGGAGAAAAGAAAATGCACAGCTCCTGGCTGAACCGGTCTGTGGAATGTGACAGCCGGCAAGAAATTTCTGACAAACCCCAAACCAGACTCAGTGCAAACCCCAAGGCCACATCTGAATGGTGAGCCAAACTGGAGCCAATCAATGTTCCCTCTAATTTTTGACAGGCCGTGTGCGCAAAAATTTCTTCTGTGCAAATTTTTGAAACAGTTCAAATTTGTGCACCATGAGACAAATGCGCCCAAGCGAGTAAAATGCTTATACATTTAAAAAGTTTTAATTTGCAATTTGTGATGATAGCTTTACACCATGTTATTTTATAAATGTCATTTTTAAATCCTTAGAAAAAGGAAATTTAACCTCCTTTCCCTTTCCCCCGGCTTGCTAGCTAGTAGCATCTGGCTGTGTTGATAGATGGCAGGTGAACAGTGTCAAAAGTCGCCCATAAATGACATTTTGGCTTGGAGGCATTGATTCATGTGTTCTGCGGGCGGTGTTTCGCCGTGTGCGCGGGGTTTAGGATCTGTGTGCACGCGCACATGCACACAGCTTAGAGGAAACAGTGATCCCAATCCACCCCTATTCAACACCCAAACTGTCAGCCAAACCTCAAACCACATCCCAATCCAATCCAAACTCTGCACCTGAGCCATCAGCCAAACCTAGATCCCAAACAAACCCCTCCTCCACTCCCGAACAACCAACCAAATCTAGAACCCAATCCCAAACCAACCCCAGTGCCATACCTGGAACTCTCAGCCAAACCTTAAACCAAATCCCAACAAACCCCTACTTCACACCTGAAATGTCAGTTAAACCTTGAACACAATTCCAACCCAACTCTTACTCAACACCCAAACTGTCAGCCAAACCTCAAACCGGATCCAAAACCAAACCCTACTTGACACTCGAAACTTAAGCCAAATTGAAAACCAGATCTCAATCCAGCATCTACTTCACAGCCAAACCGTCAGACAAACCTGCAACCGAATCCCAAAACAATCCCTACTCCATATCCTAACCACTAGTGAATCCTCAAACCAGATCCTATTGCAGACCTTACTCCAAAACCAAACTATCCGCAAAACTTCAAACTAAATCCCAACTCATGTGCACCTCAAAACACATACCATTAGTTTAAACTTGAAAAGGATCTCAACCCAGCTCCAACATCATATCCGAACTGTCAGTCAACCCTCAAACTGGATCCCAAGGCCAACCCTACTCCACATCCAGTCAGCCAGCCAAACCTCAAACTCCTACTTCACACTAAATAGTCAACCAACCATCAACCAGATCCTAGACATATCCCTACTCCACACCTGAACCACCAGCAAAACCTTGAACCGTATCCCAGCTAACTCCTACTCCACACCTGAACCATCAGCCTACACTCAAACTGGATCCAAACCCAACCCTTACTCCTCACCCAAAACACACTTCACATGCAAACCGTTAGCCAAACCTCAAAAGGGATCCCAACACAACTTCTACTCCCACCTGAACCTTCAGCCAAACCACAAACCGGATCTCAACCAAACAAATACTCCACATGCGAACCTTCAGCCAACCCTTGAACTGCACCACAACCTAACCCCTATTCCATAATTGAACTATCAGCCAAGTCTTGAACTGGATCCTAAACCAATCCCTAGTCCCCAACCAAACTATCAGCCAAATCTCAGAATGGATCCCAACCCACCCTCCACACCAAACTCAAACTGGATTGAAACCGAAACCCCTAATCCACACCTGAACTATTAGCCAAACCTTGAACTGAATATCAACCCAATTTTTATTCCCCACCCAAACCATCAGCCAAAACAAGCCAGATGCCAGCTCAATCCCTACTCCACAGTCAAGCCATCAGCAAAACTTCAAACCAGATACCAAACCACCAACTACTCCACAACTGAACCGTCAGCCAAATTTTGAAGTCAGTCTCAACCCAAATCCCACTCAACATCTGATCCATCAGCCAAACTTAAAACAGGATTGCAATCAAATCCCTACTCCACATCCAAACCACGAACCAACTCTTGAACTCTATCCCAACCCAATATTTCCTCCACACCCAAACCATCAGGCAAACTTTTAACCATATCTCAGCAAACCCTTACTCCACACCAGAACTGTCAGACAAACCTCAAATGTGACCCCAAACCAATCTCTAGTACACATCAAACAATCAACTAAACCTCGAACTGGATCTGAATCCAACCCTTACTCCACACCTGAACTGTCAGCCAAACATTAAAGCCAAGCGAAATCCCTACACCACAATGAACCACCAATCAAACCTTTAATTGGGTCCCAACCCAAACCTTACTCTACACCTGAGCCATCAGCCAAACCTCAAACCAGATACAAACTCAATCCCTACTCTAGATCTGAACCATCATTCAAATCTCAAAATTAGATCTCCAACCAAAACCCCACTCCAAAGCAGAATCATCAGGCAAACCACAAACTGGTGCCAACTCACCTAACCATTACAACACCCTAACCATTAGCCAAACCTCAGAATGGATCCCAATCCAACCCCCTACTTCAAACCCAAATCACCAAACATCAGATCGGATCCCAACCCAACCCCTGCTTGATATCAGAACCATAAGCCAAAGCTCAAACCAGATACAGACCCTATCCTTATGTGACAAAGTGGGGATTTTCCCTTATGTTGTATGTGAGCCTATGTGAGTTTTACTGTTTTGCATGAATACAGTGTGTGCCTCAGTTTCCCTGTGTGCTGCACCAATGCCTAGGTGGTAGGAATAAGGATGTGTGACTATCGCTGAGACCCTTGGGAGCAAGTGAGACTGCTCCAGCTGCCTGCATGTAGGCTATGGCTGGTGTCATTCGTAACCTGAGACCCAGGAGGGGGATGCAACCAGGTGACACTTTGCCAGGGAAGCGAGACAAAGACCAGGAGGATCAACAGGGGTGTCAGGTCACTGGAAACTGGGCAGTCTGCTTGAGGGGACTGGAGAGGTGGTCCAGGGCATCTGGCCCGGGATTCCCGCAAGATGTACTTGTCTGAAAGTCACTGATTTCTCTGCTAACAAGTTCAGTCTATGCTGTGTTCTTGTTGACTAATAAACCTTCCGTTTTACGCTGGTTGAGAGTCACGTCTGACTGCGGAGTTGGGATGTAGGGCCCTCTGACTTCCCCGGGAGCCCCACCCAGTGGACTCACTGTGGGAAGCGCACGGTGTGAGAAGGGGATGCTAAATGCTCCGAGGTCAGACCCAGGAAGGTCGAAGCTGTGTACGCTTCTTGCCCTGGAGACTATGCTCAGAGAGAGGAGGTTCCCGCACAGTACTGACTGGCTTCGTATGGAGTAGTTCCTGCGTATTGGCCTGGTGACTCCGTGACACCCTGCACCGCACCACACCAAATTGTCTTGCCAGTCCAACTCCACAACTGAACCGTTAGCCAAGCCTCAAACCAGATCCCAACCCAGACCCTGCTCCACACTTACCAAACCTCTAACGAGATCCCAAATACATTGATTATTCCTCACATGAACTGTCAGCCAACCCTTTAACTAGATTCCACCCAAACCCATACTGCACGGCCAAGCCTCGCACTGCATCCCAACACAACCCCTACTCCACACCCAGCAGCCAAACCTCAAACCAGATCCAACCCAATATATATTCCATATCCAAATGGTCAACCAAACCTCAAACATGCCACACCCAAACTGTCAGACATCTCAAACCAGAATCCATCTCAACACCTACACCCTATGCAGAACACTAAGCCAAACTGTTACCTAGCAGCTCTGTGTTCTTGGGGAACCAGGGTGCAGTACCCAGCCTGTCTGACTCACAAAAGACCTTCCCCGCCTCCACCCCAGCCTCTGCTTGAGCCAAATCCGCAAGAGAAGACAGACTTAGGCCTTGTTTACACTTGCAAGTTAGGGCGCCCGGGGCTGATTTAACGTGCTCTAACTCCTGAGGTGTCCACACTGGCAAGGCACGTAGAGTGTCTGGACTCGGCAGCTGGAGCGCTCCTGGTAATCCACCTCCACGAGTGGCATAACGATTGGCACTGCGGCACTCCAGCCAGGGCGCAGCAGTGTAGTCTATTAATGCGCTCTGATCGGCCTCCAGAAGTGTCCCGCAATGGAGACCCTTCTGGGGTCCCTTCCAACCCTTATATTCTATGATTATATTCTATGAATGCCTGTTCTAGCCACTCCGGTCATCACTTTGACCTCTGCTGCCCTGCCCTCAGGTGACCAACCATCAGACCCGCCCTTTAAGTTCTCTGGGAATTTTGAAATTCCCCTTCCTGTTTGCTCAGCAAGGCGCGGAGTGCTCTCAGTGAATCTTTCCAGATGACCATGCCTCCACGCACCAGGCGATCCCCAGTATGGCATAATGGTGAGGTGCTGGACCTCATTGGGGTTTGGGGGGAGGAAGCAGTCCAGTCCCAGCTGCACTCCAGCCGTAGGAATTACGATATCTTTGGGCAGATATCAAGGGACATGCTGGAAAGGGGCCATGACCGGGACGCACTGCAGTGCGGGGTTAAAGTGAAGGCGCTGCAGAATGCCTACCGCAAAGCCCACGAGGCAAACAGCTGCTCCGATGCTGCGCCTGCGACCTGCCATGTCTACAAAGAGCTGGACGTGATACTGGGGGCCGACCCCATCTCCAGTCTGAGGACCACCATGGACACTTCAGAGGCCGTAGCAGCATAGAGTACAACAAGGCAGGAGGAGGAAAGCGGGAGCGAGGGTGCTGACGCAGAGGGGGGCCCAGAGCCAGCGGCTGGCCTGGCATCCCTAGATACATGCAGCGAGGAGCTGTTTTCAAGCCAGGAGGAAGGTAGCTAGTCACAGCAGAATGTGCCTGGGGAAGAACAAACAGCAGAGGAGGTGCCCGGTAAGTGGCTTTTATTTTGGGAAGGAAGTTGTTTGGTGTGGGATCTCGGAGTGAGGAGGGTTAGGGCTGCATGCATGCCTAGATGTGGAATAAGGGGTTGATGT